GCACCTCCGGGCCGCTCCGCTAGGTGCTGCTGCCGCGGCCGCCAGGGAGGGAGGCGCCGGAGGGCGGGCCCCACGCGGTGCTAGGGTTCGGTCTGGACTGGCGGTGGTGGGTCCGGACCGGCGGTGCCGGGTTCTGTCCCGACCAACGGTGCTAGGTTCGGTTCGGATGCGCGCTGCTGGATCTAAATGGGCGGTGCTGGGTCCGACGGAAGGTGCTGTGTTCAGTCCGGACGCGCGGTGCTGTGTCTGGACGGGCGGTGCTGGATCCAACTGGGCGTTGCTGGATCTGCACTGGCGGTGATGGGTCCGATGGGCGGTGCTACATTGGGTTCGGACGGGCGATGCTGGGTCCGATAGGCGGTGCTGAGTTCGGTCCGGACGGGCGGGGACGGGCGGTGCTGGGTCCAAATGGGTGGTGATGGATCTGGACGGGCGGTGCTGGGTCCGATGGGCGGTGCTGGGTCCGATGGGCGGTGCTAGGTTCGGTTCGGATGGGTGGTGCTGGGTCTAAATGGGCGGCGCCGGGTCCGATGGGCGGTGCTGGGTTCCGTCCGGACTGGCGGGTCTGGGTCTGGACGGGCGGTGCTGGGTCCGAACAGGCGATGGGTCCGATGGACTGTGTTAGATTCGGTTCGGACTGGCAGTGCAGAGTCTAAATGGGCGGCGCTGGGTCCGATGGGCGGTACTGGGTTCGGTCCGGACGGGCGGGTCTGGGTCTGGACGTGTGGTGCTGTATCCAAGTGGGCGGTGCTGGTTCCGGACTGGCTGTGCTAGGTTAGGTCCCGACGGGTGGTGCAGGGTCTAAATGGGCGGTGCTGGGCACAGCAGGGGACAGGTGGGCGTGGCGGCACAGGTACGGAGCGCAGTGCGGGTGCGGCGCCCTCCGAAGGGCCTTGCGCTCCCCGCGCTCGCTGCTCCTCCAACCTGCGCATTGCCCCGGGGCTGCTGCGTGTTTCTTCCAGGGTGATTCCTTTCTGCTGGGGTCACTTCGAAGCTGACCTTTTCAAGCTGTTTTCTTCCGAGGAGGATACCTTATTAGGCTTTGTGTGCATTTCAAGTGTCATGTTTTTCGGACCGCGCCCCGCTGCTCCCGGGGTGTTCGAGCCCCCACACTGCCGTGCGGTGTTCCTCTCGCTGAGTGAGGTTGGAGGTTCCCACTGCCTTTGTGTGTCTCCTTAGAAAACGCCTCTTCTCTCAGACACATTGTTATCTGCAAATCCTTCGCAGATGTAGAGAACGGACTGCAGAGTTAATAAACGTCGAAGGGAAGCTTTGATGCGCCCCTGTTGGCCCTGAGAGATGCCGCGTGAGCGTCATTTTAAATCCTGTACCTGTACGTGGACGTGGAAACCTGAAATTAATTTCAGTAGCAAGCGTTGTGAATTGTAGGGCTTTTTTTTATTAGGTGTCTTTTTTGTAACTGCTCCTCCCCTCCCCCACCCTTTGTTTTGGCTGCGGAACCCATCCCAGCAGTCTCCCCATGCAGTATTCAGTCAGGCGAAGTTGCGTTCTTACATTGTCTGTGATGTGTAACAAAAAAGCGTTTATCTTTGAAACACTAAGGCAAGTAATGAGAAGAGTGAACTATATTTGACAAAGCCTTTTTATTTTTGTCATTACTTTTTTTTCCAGTGTGGAAATAATTTTTCTCTCCACCAACTGGATTTTCTCTTTTGTAGACAATTAGAGAATTCTGTCATCCTCACTGGGTTCTGTCTTTTCTACTGCACTTGTCCAGTACAGCTACATAAGGAGGCTTCTCAGCAGAGGAGCCTGGGGTGTTGAACCAGTGCCATGGGGGAATGAATTATGCAATAGATCGCTAGTCTCCTTTCTTAAAATTAAAGTGTGGTACGTGCAGAAAAGTATCTGTGTCTAAATGGCATCTTCATGTTGTAGCACTCGGTTTCTTTATGCCTTTCAGTCCCTGTGCTTCTTGATAGACTCGAGTTTTTACTGTGTGAGCATCCCCGTGCCCGCACAGCGAAGGCCTCTCACTGGGTTCTACACGTGCTGCACAGATCCCTGGCACAGCCTTAACTGAACCTCAACTGCAGGAGCTTCATTCCCGAGGATGCTGTTACCAAGAGTGACTTGCCTCTTGAAGAATGAGTTTGCAAAGCTGGCAGTTAGATTGCTGATGTCCAAAGTAAGTATGTGTAGCATCGCTAAAGAGAAAATTCAGGATTCCTGGAAAACAGTTATGGGCTCTCTGCGGTGTTATTTTTGTAATAAAAAACATGTAGCGTATGTGAAATACCTACTGAGTGATGCAGGACACATAGAAGGCTCTAAATTAATGTGAATTATTCTCGTTTTTCTGACTGTCATTAAAAGTCCCCATTTGTATTATGTATGAGTGGTATATCAATATCTAAACTACAGTTCACCGTAGGTCCCAACCAACATTAGTTTATTGACAAATGTTTAAGAGCAACCAGAAATTCATAGAATACCTATGATTCTTAAATCATGAACACTCCCATAACTGGTATATGTTTAGGACATGAAAATTTCCAGGCTGACAAATTATTTCACTGTCGTTGTTCAACACTCCAGTATGATATTCTGAGCCGTGTGTCAATTTCAATACCACCTAGAACAATAAAAGGCAGACATGCTACCATCCTCTATTGTCATTGCCCCACTGGATTCTGGTATATCTAAAAATTATACTTAAATGATATCCAAGAAATGCTGTATAAAAATAAAATAATGGGCTTTTCTGTTATTAATTCCATTTTATACATGGTGAGACTGAAATGCAAGAGAAAGGACCGGACTGAAGCTAAACGAAGCTGCACTGGGCGAGGTTGAAAAAGACCTTTTTAATCTATAAGTCAGTTTTTAAAAATTTAAGTTTTTACTTTATAATTTTAGTTTTCTTTTTAAATGTATATTATTTTTAGTTGCGCTATTCAAAAAGTTTTTACAGCTTCTGTTTCAATCAGCAGTGATATACTAATATTTCTAAGTTTCTCCCATCTGAAACCAAAATCTACGTAAAACCTAAAAGCACTAGGTAATAGAGGACAACAGAGCAAGACTCTCTTAAAAGAAGAAGTATCACGTCCGGGCGCGATGGCTCAAGCCTGTAATCCCAGCAATTTGGGAGGCCGAGATGGGCGGATCACGAGGTCAGGAGATCCAGACCTGGTTAACACGGTGAAACCCCATCTCTACTAAAAAATACAAAAAACTAGCCAGGTGAGGTGGCGGGCACCTATAGTCCCAGCTACTCGGGAGGCTGAGGCAGGAGAATGGCGTAAACCCGGGAGGCGGAGCTTGTAGTGAGCTGAGATCAGGCCACTGCACTCCAGCCTGGCGACGGTGAGCCCCCATCTCAAAAAAAAAAAAGAAGAAGAAGTATCACATAATAGGAATAAATGTGAGGACAGAAAGTAATAATATTTTTGAATTTCTGATTAAACTTTGCACTTACTTTAAAAATTTTTTTGAAATATGAAAACCAGGTTCTGAGACCAGCCACTTGAAATAAACCTTTTCCTGCCCCAATTTTCACAGGCTTTAGAAAATAATAAGTACCAGGAAAAAGATTAATACATTTTAAAAAAATGATACAAATATATCAACTATGTTTAACTATATCACTATATTTAGTACCCTACAGGTCATTTAATTTTCTAGCTGCCAATAAATTCCATATTTAATCAAATTTAGAAAAATGTCATTATTATTGTATAAATCATCTTACAAGTCCTTTTAGTAGATATATCAATTTAGAGGATGGTCTTTAGCAAAAAAGTAAAGTAAAAGGATTTAATAAAGGTCCTAATAGCAGATATTCTAGGGCAGGCAGCCTTCTACAGTAGCCCATGCATGTGAAAGTTAATCTAATTAGTTGATCTAGAAAGTTAAATAACCAAACTCTCCTTTGCTTAACCCATCACTAGAAAGGCCAGTGTTGTTAATTTTGTTTTTTTAAACAAACAAGCAAAAAAGATAAATTCTAGAGGATTAGTTTTTCATAAGTAGAGTATGTGCTACTTTATTGGAAAATGAAGAAATATATCTTTCAAATATATATCTGCTTCCTTCATTACTTTCCCATGTTCCCAATATTTAGTCACATTTTAGGTTAGAACTTTCAGGAAGTGAGTTTTTACACAGAAATTAGTGCTATAAACAGCCCTTAAAATAGGAATTTAATCTTACTTATTTAAAAAATATATATAATCTTACCAACCCAGAAAGACATTTGTGGTTAAATATATTCTCTGGCATTTTATAAACCAAGATGATACTGGAAAGAAAAAACTAAATCTTAAATACATAAACAACATATTTACACTGTGATATGGTTTAGATCTGTGTCCCAAAGCCAAATCTCACGTCAGATTGTAATGCCCAATGTTGGAGGTGGGGCCTGGGGGGAGGTGATTGGATTGGATCATGGGGGTGGATTTCCCCCTTTGGTGCTGTTCTGGTGATGGAGTTCTTACTAAATCTTGTTGTTTAAAAGTGTGTGGTACCTCCCTTCCCCCACTTCCTCCTGTTACAGCCAGGTAAGACATGTCTGCTTCGCCTTTGCCTTGTGCCATGATTGTAAGTTTCCTGAGGCCTCCCCAGCCATGCTTCCTGTACAGCCTGCAGAACCATGAGCCAATTAAACCTCTTTTCTTTATAAATTGACCTAGTCTCAGGTATTTCTTTATAGCAATGCAAAAACGGAATGGACTAATACACACTGAATGCAAAGAAACGAAATGGGGTGTGTGTGTGTGTGTGTGTGTGTGTGTGTGTGTGGAAGGTATTAGAAGGGGATTATACCATAAACATGGGTCACTTAGCTTTTACTGTGTTGGAGAATTGCTTTGCATTATCTTCTTTTTATTCAGTACGTGTTGCAGACTAAGTTAAAATGTGATCATATATATCCTGAAAATAATGAAAGAATATCACGCTGTGAATAGATTTGCAAAAGGGCGTCTCCCCTGCCTGCCTCCTTGTCGTCCTTTCCACATTCTGTGCATCCTTAGGCCTGCAAAGTGTTGCTCCATGGTGCTCTGGAAGTACTCTCACTTCCAGAATTTTTCCATCCAATGCCCCATTGCATCAGTTTCGGTTTCCCACTTTGAAAACCAATGAACTAAACAGCACTAGTTCTTTTGTCGCCATCTCCCCGTGTTTTCTCGATCCCTTACACTTGGCACTTTGATTTTAGTGGCTACCTTGAATTTGGTTTTGACTTGAAATTCTGAATGTGCCTTTTTCCTCACGAGTTCTGTTCCCCTTGGCGTTGGGGACCCATCTTACTGATGTCTGATTCCGTGTCCTGCGTCTGGCAGAGAGCACAGTTCTGTGTACCTAGCGGATATTTAATAAACGCGCATTGGCTGCACTGAAGATGGCTGTGTACTGGCGGGGCGGGGTAGGGGTGCCCAGCACACGGCTTCTACAGCTAGTCTAATCCCAGCAGCTGAGACTAGACTTTACTCAGGTGAGTGGGCTTTACAAGGGTAGAGAGTCCACAGTCTGGAGGTCGTGGAGCTTTTCCATCCAGCCTTTCACCTTTTTTCTTGATAATAAAAGGTACAGTTCTAAACAATGGGCCCAGAAGAAGAAAGAAGTATGCTTGCCTCATTCCTAAAATAGAGGGCTTGACCTACTGAGCAACTTTAATAGGACTCTATGATCTCGCTGTCATTAACAGAACAAAGGCCAGAAATATTTAGGAGGCATTATGGAAACCAGGTGCTAAAATGAACTAAATATAATAAACCTAATTCCCTCCCCATTTTCACAGGTTCTATAATATAGAAAGTACTAGGGAAAAGAGGAGGAGCTTTATACACCTAAGAAGAACAAAGGGTACAAATATATCAACTTATTTTTTACATCTTATGCCCTTTTCTGCTAGAAAATTATATGTATAATATAGAATATAAGCTGAATATATAAATTTTGCTGGGAAACTAATGTTTTGAAATGCAAACTCCCGTTAAATTTTATTTTAACAAATAAAAACAGATACCAAATGAAGGGGAGTGTATTGTTAACGTGCTATTTACCAGCAGTAAAAATCATAGAAACAAAGTGTTGAGAAATGTGTTGTTCATGGCAAAGCCATAAATGGAATATCCAGGGACTTCTCCCAAGAAAAATCTTTTCTTTATCCACTAGTATCTCTGGAAATAAAAATTACCAAACTACAGGGTTTTGCTTGCTTTTGAAAATAAAGTGCAGCTTAGACATTATTTCAAGTGCTTTCGACGTTTGCAGTAGTTCTATGAGAAGGGAGAAACTTGGCCTAAGTACTTCCACTAAGGTAGTTTTATAAACACGTACCCCGAAGCACCCTTACCACACACACACACCTTCTCTAAATATATGCCAACGGTAGATGACAAATAAAGAGGGAAAACATAGAATTGTAGGAGACTTGAAACAGCATGGGCATGACTGAGGATCAGCGTTGGGATGGAGATGCATGATGGTGAGAAGGAGCTGAAGGAAAAGCCCTGCTGGAGTCTGGAACCCAAAGAAGGCAGGTCCTACAAGGAGCCAGGCTCTTGTTGGGCGGTGGGGACTATGGTAGGGACCACAAGTGCTCATGGGAGGAGAGGAAGCTGCTGCCAACTGCAGCTGCCCACATGACTGACGCGAAGCCATGTGTCTCCGGGAAGAGAAAACGTGCATGTGGCCGCCTGCCGGGAACTGCCATGCAGCGAGTGACTGCATCTGATGCCTTCCACCATGGCAACACGGCGTGTTCCCAGACGAGGGCTCCACACGGACGAGGTGCCTTTGTTAAGCAGAGGTGTGAGCAGAAAGATACACTGAGAAAGATACAGTAGAGAGAGAATCTCCCACTTACGATGAGCTGGTGAAGAAAAAATTCCCATGCACGTGAACACAGCAAATGCTAAGGGACCACCTGAATCAGCAACCATTCTGAAAAGAGCTTTAAAATAAACATGTTTGGGAAACTTGAAGAAATGTATGCAGGAATAACATGCATCCAAAGGGGTAAGAAGTTATGAAAAAGAACTGGCAGAAATATCCTAACTGAATTAACACAGAAACAGAAAACCAAATACTACATATTCTCCTAAGTGGGAGCTACACATTATGGACACAGGGACATAGGGATGGAAACAGTGGACAGTGGGGCCCATGGGAGGGAGAAAGGGGCAAGGAGAGAACTGCCTACTGGGAGCTGTGTTCACTCTTTGGGTGATGGGTTCGATGAAGGCCCAAACCTCAGCATCACACAATAAATGCACGTAGCAAACCTGCATATATACCCCTGACTCTAAAACATAAAAGGGGGGGGCCAGGCACGGTGGCTCAAGCCTGTAACCCTAGCACTTTAGAAGGCCAAGGCAGGAGG